GAATCTGTGGTAAAAATGATTGATATTGGTGAACATTTAAGTCGTATGCTAGCTTGTGACGAGTTTCGTGATGAAGTCGAAAAATACCGAAACGTAATCGATTCCATGACAGACGATGATCCATATACCGATTTTTTTTCTGGAGCCGCGTATAAAGAAATGAAATCTAAAGGTCTCTTCACTGGTCAGCACGATTTAGCCATCGTTCTATGTGTTGATGGGTTCACTTCGAAGGTATCAAGAAAAAGTATGGTGATGGTACACGTTATAATTGCTAGCATTGATCCGTCTATCAGGTAAATTTTGGCTCTATATACAATACATCCAATCTTTTTACGTCGTAATAACACCATTTGCAGATACACCGATGAATATACTTTTCAAGTTGCAATTCTTTTTGGTGACACTAAGAAAGACTTTGACTCGTATCTGCGTCCAATTATTGAAAGCCTTGATCGTTTGAGTCGTGAACCTGTTGTTGTTCGCAAGAATGGTGTTCATGTCACGTCGGCTAGAATTTTCAATTTGGGTGTCATTGCAGATGGTATAGAGATCAACCAGCGGTTGTTGATGTTTAGTGGTCATACCAACTGGTGGGGATGTAGATTTTGTATTGGTAAGTCGTCAGTTACTAAGCTATGACCGTGGACACTAACAAAATGACCCTTCTAAATTTAGTTAAAGGCGGTCACCCAGTTGACGGAGGAAAAGGTGGTATGTACTTCTTTGGCAGAGACTCGGCTATCAGAACCAAAGCTTCTTTATTACTTGAGAAAGACGCAGTAAGTATTAACTTGTGTAGCCTTTTTTACATATTTTAATTGATTTACCTTTATTAGCCTTCTTGTCCCAACCACAACTATGGTATTAAAAGTGCTTCTCCCTTTGGTCAGTTGAGTACCTTCCTCTCCATCGACTTTTTCATGTGTGACGAGCTACATATGTTTTCGAATGTCAGCAAGCTTTGCTTCGACATGCTTTCACCAAAGCTCAACACTCGGTTCAAGTTTGATGGTAACGAAGACACGTACCCGTTTGCTCTCGAGACTGCTGATTTTACTCGCATCAAAACCGCCATGGATGACTCCCTTCGTGCAATTCCTGCGGATTTCAGTGGTTCGTTTGCTGGTGTCAATCTGGATAATGTTAGATCTATTTATCGTTCGGTGGACTGGATCGCCTGGTTGGTGCATGTGATTCCTACGATTGTTGCCCCACTCTTTCACGCCAGAGAAGCAACCACAGGATTTATTGCCCTGTCTCGTGGTATTCAATTGAGTTTGCAATGGTCGATATCCGAATCTGAAGTGAAGGAAATTGAAAGGTAAATATTCATTGTTGAGTTGTAATTTATGTAGTGATATTTACTTGAACATTATATTTGCTTATGATAGATGCTTTAAGACTTGGTTTGATTACCTCGATACCTGTCTTGATAGCAGCTCTATCTCCAGAACCGTATTCAGATCGAACATGCACCAACTGAACCATATACCATACATGATAAAACGAATGGGGTTAGTTATCGATTGTCATCATAGTTATTAGACTTCCCTTTTGTACTAATTTTTCATTTCTCTGGTAGACCGTTAAGGTGTTATTCTGCAAGATCATTGGAAAGGTCTATTGGCATATACAAGAAGCGAATCCGTTCATCTTTGAATCCTGGTGTCAACGCCGGTAATGTCATGGAAACTCGTGAAATGTTCTCTTTTTTGCAATCCGATGGTATAATCGATAGTTCCGCCTATGATTTGAAGAAGGATAAAGTCAACAACTTCTTGCCCCACCCGTCCAACGATCCATTGTTGCCTCAGCTGTGGTCACCCTTTCACTGGCGGGTAAATACTGTAAAGCTGGGCCAGGTTGTAAAGCAAGCAAAAGAAAAGCACAATCATACCATTGGCGGCTACCTGGCAAGAGACTGGCTTAAAGCACTCTCTCAATTTTTGATTCGTCTGACTGGTAATACTTCGGCTGTTATAACTTCGTTCCATCAGCACCAATTTGTCAACATTTCTCAAAAACTCTGGACAAACAATCAAATATACATATCTGATTTGTGCAAATCGAAGAACGCAGCAAGTTCGCGTGGTGGTGAGTTTGTTATGTTTACTGCAATTCATAAAAATCGGTAAGTTGATGTTTGCAAATCAAAATTATTGTGTACTGACTTATTGTAATTAGGATGTTCCGGCCTGTCGAAAACTGGTACGTTTGTAAAGTCTTGTTCTTTTTTGACTTTACATATCAAGAAGGTGCTCCGGGCTCGAACTTCGTTTTTGGTGAACTTATGAAGAATCATGACGTCTCACCATACTCAAAGGCTATCCCGCGCGTGAAACCTTACGATGAGGCTGAGCAAAAAAAATTTGTGGTCTTTGATGCCGAGGATCTTTTGTCTGCTGTCGGATTGGTGAATGCGGTTGACGGCTCCAATAACAAATATGTTATAAAGACTGGTGACGCTTTTAAAGTCGATATGAGTAGTACTGCCGGAAGTGTTGGAAACATTGTTTTCCGCTGAGAATAAAATACAAAATCATTAAAACCCACAGTCACATGTCCCGTTTTCTCATTTTACTTACGTAATCTGAAGTTGTCTTTTTCTTACCCTGGCTATCATCCCCATAAACATTTTTTTTCTTTAAAAAATTACGTTTATCTATTAACATGGTATTGCTACATCTATTTATTTATGTATAAGTTGTTTTTATAGAGATTTAAAAATTTGGCTTTGCGATCAGCGATCAAAAAATCAAAAATATCGGAGATATCGATATTTTCGATTTTTTGAGCGATATCGCCAATATCGATCAAAAAAAACATTTTGATCGCTGATTTATTTTAGGGTGGAAAATAATACTTGCAAAATATGTCACAGCAAAGAAAAGCACGACTGGTAACACTCTGTAATTCACATACGCCTTTAAAGTATTAGATTATATTCTAAAGGAGTTTTGATAGATACAGTTTGCATTTTGATTAACAGTTACAGGAGGTAAAGCGTCTTTTCTAAAAACATGATCACGTCTGATTTACTGCTATCTGATCATTCTGTGTATGCGGAATATTAAAGATTATCGTCTATCAAATATATATTTATACATACAATATAGTAAAGACATCTTGTTTCTGTATAAGAAAAATTATAAACACCAAGTAAAGATTTAGCATTAAGATCTATGATGCTCTGGTCGTTGGGTAAAAGTTTGCTTATTAAATCTGTTCCGGGTTTCCGGTTCCGAGGTAGAGAGAAGGTATCCAAGTCGTTGTTTGTAAATGAAGATTTTGAAAAATAGTCTTAGTTTGCTAGTATGCAATCAAAACCGTCATTTTGTATTACCAGCAGGATCGCACATTTTCATTTAAACGAATAACAACGATACCTATACCGTTGTAAGCAAAGTTTTTATTTGAATGCTTATATTTATCTTTTAGTAATGCAATTAGTCTTGGTCCTAAAGAGACAATCTTTTGGTAAATAACTATCAATGACTTTGGAACTAACGTCATTTGTTCTTTAGGTAACGGCCATTTACTTTTCGGAAATCACTATTCACTGAATTTATACTTTTTTTTTTTCCTTGTTACACACTTGGCGGAGAGATAAAAAAAAAGGAAAAATAAATAGAGCCTCTTTTTTTTTTAGCATGCAATCCACACACACTCTCTCTCTCTTCTCTTCCTTCTTTACTCAACACAATGGATCTCAAAAAATCCAAAAAAGAAACCAAGATTAGGTTTTGGCAAAAGAACCAACCGGAGACCGATTTGATGCATGATTTGATTAAACTGTCGACGGTAAATGTGTCTGGTATTTACTTACCACCGTCACCATCGGATGAAAGTAATAGCCCTACAAGAGACTATTTCGATATCCCTCATCATTTCCATGTGCCCAGCCCCGATCGTTTATGTGCAAGCAGCAGTAGACAATTATATACCCCTTCACAACAATTTATTTAGATCCGTTTCTTTTTAGGTGTATTGTTTCGTTGTTTGTTATAATATTCTGCCAATTCTCGTTTACGGTCTCTTTCTTTTTCTTGTTCTCTCTCTTTCTCCCTCTGACTCTCCTATTAAAGATATTTCTATTAGTTAGGCTGTTTCGTTTACTCATTGTCGTACTAACCAAACTATCCCCCACCATTGTTGACTCTTGTTCTTGTTGTAACACGGGCACGCCATCTACTCGAAAATCTTTTTTTTTAATAAACTTTACTTACACTACTACAATTTTTTTTTTTTTTTCACTTGCTTGGTTCACGCTTTTGCAACGAGTTGAAATACTCTAATGAATCGTGACTAAATCTGGATCCTTTTTTAGGCTTTTTTTTTTTTTTTTGTCGTATGTGAGTCATGTGGGTCATTTTTTAATTTCAATCAGCTTTTTACCGTTCTTAACTTTTCTGGTAAATCATCTTACACAAAAAAAAAAAAAAAATAGGTGAGCAAGGGTCGGCTTTAAAATATTTCATGCATGGCTTTTCATAGTTACCCAATAGATTCTCCGTGAAATAATTCACAATGGCTTGGCTAGGCAAGATGAAATATTGAAAAATCACACCAGGTCCCGTCATACCTTCCTCGCTGGTCTCTGCATCCAACACTCTACAATTAAATACCCAAGTCAACGCTGCAATATCACCTGTAGGTTTCTCCAACGGTAAAAAGAGTTTTAAATGACCAGGCTCGACATGCAAACGACAGTCAATTACTCCCTTGTCAAAGTAGGCTTTGATTTTACGGTACATAAGCATACTGGCAGCACGGTCTTTACACGACATGCCTAATTGTTCCTTTACATTATGTTGTATACGTTCATGATTGCCATGTTCAAACCACACTAAACAGAGATCGGTTACCAGGAACAAGTACTCGTCATTGTCCATAAAGGCGTACTTTATATAGTAGACGTTTTTCTCCGTACGACGAATGACCCAGGCACAGTGGGCCAGTATTTGAAAGTGGTGTTTACTCAGTAGCATAATCAAATATATAACAAAAAAAAAGAAAAAAGTATTTTTATTTTATTGTTGAGGACTGATTTTTAAAGAGAAATCAACGTGAGGGACACCTTGGGTAATGGTACTCATACTCAAGACATCGATATAAGGACAAAAGTAAGTAGCACAAGTCTCATAAGTAATACCACCACTACTCTCGATCAAGAAATGAGTTTTACCTCGAGCAGCCCAACGCTCTTTAATGCTTTGAGCAGCTAATTGTAATCCTGCGCCAGTGAAATTATCCAACATGACAATATCTGCACCTGCAGCAATAGCCTCATCAGCCTCAGCTTCACTTTGACATTCGACTTCAATCTTGAGAGCAAATCCACATACACTACGTGCGTTATGAACGGCCTTTGTAATTGAGCCTACAGATTATTTTAGATTTCCCACGCTTTGCCATATAATCTATAAAATGAATCCATATAGTTACCCGAGCTCCAAATGTGATTGTCCTTTAACATGACCATGGAAGAAAGATCCATACGATGGGTATCCAATCCACCGACAAGTACGCCATACTTTTCTACCAAACGGAAACCTGGTGTGGTCTTGCGTGTGGCCGCAATCACACCACCAAACCCTTTTTCCTTTTGTAAATCACTTACTTTACGTGCTCTTAAGGCAATACCACTGCATCGAGAAATAATATTAAGAGCTGTACGCTCACCCAATAAAATTTTACGGGCGCAACCGTAAACTCGGGCAATCTCGAGCTTTCCTTCCGGCTTCAGGTAATCTCCCTCTTTCACCTTCCACTCCACTCTATGCAATAGTATGTGTGTGTTGGAGGTGGGTTGTGTACAATTCAATGTAAGAGGAGAAATATATATGGTTTTTACCTGCAGTCGAGTTGCTTAAAGACTTCATCAAAGAAAGGTACACCGGCAACCACACCCTCGGCTTTGCAGTAAAGAATAGCTACTTGCTCTCCATCACCTACAACATATCCTCCGTAATCAAAAGAAGGCACATCTTCAGCAAGGTATTGAGCCACAAGTGCAGTATAATTGGTAGCGAGTAAATGAGCGTACTGGGACATATTTATAATCTATTGGGAGAGAAAAGAAGAAAATTAATTACAAAAAAATCTATCATGAAAAAAGGAGATGACGGTCTTTAAATCATGGAGTCACATCAAAAAAAAAAAATGTAACATGAAAAATGACCCACTAGAAACTTTGCATTCAACCTCTCTCTTACATATCTAAAAGCCTGAAGGTTGCTTGATTGCAGCTTTTTTTTTTAAAAAAAAAACCTTAAGTCGTTTGCTTCGTCTCATAATATTCTGTTATCTCGAGGGGGCCTTCGTAAGAACCAGCTACAGGATGATTCAACCGAATATTCAAATTCAACGGCCAGCTTTCGAACAGCATTTATACTCAAGATAACAATAAGACCAAGCTTATCGAACCTTTTATTAGCAAGTTGCTAATAATCATAAATACCGAGGGTATGCTAATATGAAGAAGTATAATTTGTAGCAAATCTACATCAAGAATAAAAGTACTTTGGTCAAGGGAGATGAAGGGGATTGCACAGGCGGCATCACTATCTGTAAGATCTCAGTGTGCGCTAGTTACAGGAAATCAGATCAAAGGCTTTGATAACCAGAGTAACTGTAGCATATTAAGGGTATACACTCTAAGGTTTTTTTTTGTGGCGTGATCCGGTTACTATCCTGGCACTATGGACCCATGCTAAAGAGACGTAACGTTTCTGCTCAGTACAAATTAGAACTGAACGAGTTCTCTAGTACATGAGTAAATATAAATATGAAACTCTTTATTTGATTCAAATGTCGACTGTGTGTTCCCAAAAAGAAAGGCCTCGTTAGGTTTTTATGTTCCATTAAAGGCTGGAAAAAAAACATGACCTGAACTTATCAAATAGCTGTCGGATAATGATGATCAAGATTGTTTAGTCATCGGATTTAAATATAATTAAAATTGGAAGCAGCGTGTTAAGAAAAGTTTTAATAATTAAAGTAAACATTAAGCATGATTCATAACGCAATTAAATTATCCTGACATAAGCCACTTCTTGTTTATGAATCTAAAAATAAAACCCATTCACACACTTTGCTCTTCCCTTCCTCTTTTCATTTTTTTTTTTTTATCCATGCATAACACGATCTTTTTTAAAAAAAAGTGATTAATTTTGTAAAAAGGTGACTTCATAACGAGTTCTGTTTCTTTCAAGAAAGGCTAAAATAGTATCTCTTTTTAAATAAAAAATCAGCAAGGTTGTTCTTCTCTATATGATCAGGACCTTCCCACTACCAATTGTAAGCATTGTAAACCTCTTTTTTACGGTATCAATTATGATGCGCTAGAAAATCGAGTGGGCCGTCGTTAAAGCAAGGCTAATGATCAAAAATATGTAAGAAGAATAATAAATAACGTGACTCTAAAAGACGTAAATCAACGCGCGCGCGCTGATGCTATTAAGCCTTGACTTGCTGTAGACTTTGTCGTAGACTTTGTCGTAGACTTTGTCTTAGACTTGCCCCAATGTGGACTTCTTGTTTTCCCTAAAGCATGTCATCTTCCAATTTACCCACCTCTAAACTATCCAGAACAAATTTGGATAGTTTTCATGACAAGGACCTGTCGAGTTGGTAGTTAAACGACTTCAAGGTTTATTACAGCGCGAAAAATCAAACCATTAGTCAGCCTAAGGTAGTACTTTTCCTCTACAAGCGCGCGTTAAATCAAATTTTACAAGATAAATTCATGACTACAAGTCTCATGAAAAGTAAAGCCAGACAATTAATCAACGACCAAAAGGTACTTTTTTTTTTATTTTTTGTAAGATCCCAAGATAGCCATTAATGACATTTTTAAAATAGGCCCACTTCTGTTGAGCCTAATATCAGCCCTTTCCACACTGTCTGGTGTTGAAGGGGACCAATAGTGATCAGTTTGAAGTCAATTAAAGTGCTGGATGTAAAGTATAAGTTGAAGAATTAATACAAAAACTCATTAAAATAAAACCTTGCTTTTAATAGCCCAAGCACACGAAGAGGTTTGCAAAAGAGCGAAGATAATAGCTACAATATCAAATACCGAAGTACCTCCAAAAAAAAAAGGCCTAACACAAGCAAAGCATCTCAGTGGATTATAAACAACGAATATGACATCCGGAGTTCTTGGTGCGACAATCTGTTTTTAGTGAAGTTAGACAGGTTTCCCACTTTGAGCTTTTTTTTTTTCTCTTTGCTCGCCGTTACTAGGGAAATTATTGTTTTATTATTTTCTTTCCGCTTAATGCTTTGTATGGTAATAGTATATGTGGGCTGCTGATATAATCTTAATAATATACTCTTTAAATTCTTGTTTTATAGATAACCATGTTCACTTGTGAATCCTTGAATTGTGTGACAAAAAAAAACTTCATGGTTTTAAAAAACATACAACTCGGGGATTCCAAATGGCTGTGATAAGACTGTAAATATTCTTGTATTTTTTTATATCCTGATGGCAAGTGAGATAAAAATAAATAGTGCATATTGCCTATCATTACTAACAGAGATTATATGAACAGAAGCTGTTCAGACATTTGGAAGAAAAGATCACCCAAATCAAACAGGAGCACGATGAGTTTGAGCTGGCAAAGTTGCTCTGTCTAGGCCATCAGCAAAAAGGCGTTGATCTTCTCTGCTACATTAACACGGATAACAAAAAGCCAGTCAGATGATCTAATTATGGAGTCCTGCTGCCAGTAGTATCCGAAGATTGCGGTGTCCAATACAGGCCTGCCAGCTTGATTTGAGTCTTGGATCAAAAAAATAAAAAAAAACAGTAATTTGTAGTTTATATAAAGGTGGATTGATGTTACTCATAGTATATCCTCCACTTTTTTTCTCTCTCTTGAGTAGTCTTTCATACTTTGTAATTGGATATTTTGGTTTTCGTATGAGATGATGCTGCTTACCTCAATGAAAGCTGGGTGTTCATAAAGAACAATAGCGAGCCAATTGGGTTTAAAAAAATAAATAAAAAAAAATCAGGTTTGGTGGCACGTTACCCTCATAAAAAGATGGATGGGTTTTTATTTAATTGACAAAAGAGTCGGGTGTGGTATGAACAAGACAACGTTCTATTTTAAAAATATCCATGACGTTGTTAGTCAGATAGAATGAAGTGCCCTCTCCTCCTCCTCCTCCCCTCCCTTATTCTTTACTCGGTTTATCAAAAGGGATCGAAACCGGTTTAGTATGGTGTTCCTAGCTTAGACAGCAGTGGAAGATTTAAAAGTCCGGAAGCCTACTTTTCACTCTCTTGTTTACTGTGATACAACCATGTTGTCGTCTACTTTTTCTGGCAGCTTTTTTTTTTTTTTTTTTTTTGATACTATACCCCTAATCATATAAGCCCTCTTTTTATTTTTTATTTTTTTACCCTCGCTCTTTTTTTTTTTTTTTTTTTTTTTTTGTTATTTCTCACATCCCTTTTTTTTTTTTTAAATAACCAACCATTGTTGCCACACCCCTTTTCGTTTGACTTCAATGACCACAGAAGAGATTAAACTAGTGATTCAATCCTTACAGGATCAAATAAAGTATGGTCAAGAGCAAAATATTGAGGTAAAGACATAAAGAAATAAATAAAAAAAAGAAGAGTGTTAAAAAAAAAAATGATAGCTGCGGGATGATATGGATAATCAAAGCAAACAACAAAAAGCACTCTCCAACGACAATGATTACCTGAGACAGGTAACAATAAATTTTAATTAAAAATATATATCTGAAAATACTCACACACACACACACTTGAATAAGAAAATCACGGCAGTGCAATTGGAAAACTCCAATTACAGCCATACACAAGCTCGCTTGGAAACACAATTATACGCTCAGGAACAGGACCTTTTGAAGTTCAGAAAACAAGTACAACAGCTCTCAAAAGCGAAAAAGGATGCTGAAAAAAAGCTGATTGCAGAGGTAAATATACCAAATATAGGTACAACACGAGCTAATTTCTTTAAAAAGTCTGAGGAATATGAAAATGATAAATCTCATTGGCAACAGAGAGAAGCCGACCTTTACAATCAAATACGCTCACTCAGTGTTACGAATGAACCACGTACGCCACGCACACCAAGAAGACGTAGTGTTACTGCCTCCACACTCGGTATCATGAGCCCATTTACAAGCGGACTAGGCGATATTGGCGAATTACAACCACAAGAATCACAACACGAAGAAGATGATATGCTATTAAAGACCCCTAAATTAGCTGTCATTGATTCTTCCTATGCCCGTGAAGCTAAAATCGCACAAAGAACTATTAAAGCACAAGACAAGATGATCCTCGATCTCAAGAACGAACTAGAGAAACAAAAGGCTGTACTGGCCGATCGTCAATCCGAAGCACAGCTCGTCTCACTAAAGCTCGTTCACCTTGAGCATGAAATCACAAACGTCAAGCAGTTGAATCAATCCTTAATGGAAGACAATGAAAGTTATCAAATATTATTGCATGAAAAGACAATTAACGGTGAATTCATGATGAACCCCATCATGCAGGTAAAATACCAATCCCCATTTTACTTTTTCCCAGTCTTAACATCAATTACCCTTTTTTTAGGTGGAGGAGGCTCCTACTAAAGAACCCACAACCTCTTCCTCTGGTTTGAATCTAGCTGCTGAGCTGGCTTCTTCTATACCAGATTGGAATAATCGCAAAGAGGCAGAGTCAGACCAAGCTATCCAGAGTAAGATTCATAGAAATTGGATTTTTAATAATTAACTAAACACTATCAAAATTTAGAATTGACGGATGAGGTAAAGATGCTTCAAGACACCAATCGTGCGCTCCAGCTTTACATGAACAAGATTTTGATGAAGATTATCAATAACAAACAATTGGAAGATGTACTTAGTATTGATCAACCATCTAAACCCAAACCTCCAGTGATTTCACCTTCTTTACAGCCTGCACCCACACCCACCAAGACAGTTTCGACCACCACAACGAATACACCTAGCAACAATAATACAACAGCAGCAACAGCCAATCGACAACGTCGTCGTACGATTTCTTATTGGGGATCCAAAGTGCCCCCACCACCACCTACCAAGACCAATTCGGAAATGGATGTGAATGATACAGAAGAAAGTCGACGTCGTCATTCATCTATTCTAAGTCCACCTCAACCTGAGCGGTCTGTCTCTACCAGCACTACAGGAGCCAATGGTGGTTGGGCTAAAGCATTACGCAGAATGAGTGTGATTGGTTGGTCTTCTGTCAAGGAAGAAAACCCACCCGTTCCTGTCATTCATAATGATAGTGCTGTGGGTTCTCTGAGTGAAGAAGAAGAAATCTCTAGGAAATCATCAGGCTCTTCTACACCTTCGATTCGTCGTAGTAATGAATTAGGAACACTAGCAGAAGAAGAATGATTTCTTTTTTTTTTTTTGAATGATTTTTTTTTTCCTTATATATATGACCCTCTTTTTTTTTTTTTATTTTATTTTTTTTTTTATCGGAACTTCCCTTTCTTCTTTTTTTTTCTTCTTTTAAATTGTAAATGTTGCTCAGTAATGTCATGTTGATGGGATGGATGCTGTCAGTGAATGGGCAATGGACAAATAAACCCTTAGTTTATTTAGGTGACACACCTTATCAACATATCCCCGTGCACAACATGTCCACTGCTCTAAGAATCCAACGAGATATTGCCATGAATGTGACGCTTGACCAATTTGTGTGGCCTGCATTAGATATCTCTACTGCCTTTTTAGGTAATCATTCCCTTTTCGCTCTACCCCATCTCCCTTTACGCATGGGTTATAAGCGTTTAATCATGGACCTTTATTATGATCCTGTACGTTCCGATTGGCAATTATGTCCTCAATACGACTGCTCAGACTATCTCTTGTCACATTTCTTGAAATCGATCGATGATTATCTCATCTCAACCCAAGTGAGTGGTGCTTCCCCTTACACTGATATAGTCACTTTGGTCTTTCATCTTCAATCACTCACTCCCAATTTAACCATCACCAGTAATCTAGCTTCTCTTTTTTACAAAGTCTCCACTCCCACTCTTGATGGTAAAACGCGGGTTTATACTCCCTCCAATTTAACCACGGACACTTCCCTTCTTTTAACGCACAGACAAGAACCTTATTTTATGCAAGACGAAACGTGGCCACAATGGATTCATCTGATACAAAATAAAGCACAATTATTACTGGCTTTGGGAAATGTTTCTTCTAACATTATCATCTCCGACTTGGATAAAGAGACCCTCTTTCGTTCCCTGGGGAATACAACACATAATATTGACTCTCTGAACTGTTCTGCACCCACTTCCTGGTCCTTTGTGAGCGATCGACACACTCCCTTCTCCTATACGTCTGCCTTTAACGCGGTAAGCTTTGGGGGGTAAATGCCATCTATTGTGTGTTGTATTTAACATATCTATATATATATATAAAAAAAAGACGCAGTGTGGTTACTCGCCTGTATTCACACAGAGTCAATACCCAGGAGAACTCTCCTTGACAGACCCAGGTCATTTATCCGACAATATCCTGTCCACACTTTGGTCCTGGGATATCAACGAGCCTAATACTCAAAACGGTGCTCATCGTTGTGCTGCTATGGAAAAGAACGGACGTTGGTATGCAACAGATTGTGCGCAATCATTAGCGGTCGCTTGTTATTCCCCTTCACAAAATCATTGGCTGGTTTTGAACGTCACCTCGAATTATGATCGGTCGCTCAGTGAGTGCCCTGAAACTTATTTCTTTGATGTGCCTCGCGTGCCACGACAAAACCTTCAATTACAAACTGCGATGCAAGGGGCTAATGTCACGGGTAAAGTATGGTTGAATTTAAACATGGTGTATAATCAGGATATGTGTTGGGCCGTAGGTCGATATGGTACCTGTTGGTGGTCTAAAGATGTAAGTTTTTTTTTTTATCTGTGCTTTTTTTCACAAAAGTGTGTAAATAGATGCTGATGTTTAGTGGGCGGTTTTTTTTTTGGGGGGTGGGGTTAGGCAGGGATGGAGTATCTAGGGTTGATACAAACATCGATTGTGTCTGGTGTCATTGTCTTACTCCTGGTGGGTATCTTTACTTGGGTTAAATGTGCTCGATTATGGAGAAATAGAAATTCAAGACCTCGTAAAGCCATGGTGAAAGCCATGTTAGCGAAAAGAGAATATGTAACCATACCTGTAAGTACAAGGAACGAAAATTATACTTGGTCACTTTATTCATTTCGACACTTATCATAGGCCTAGTTGAGATTGAAATAGATGAGGCAAATAAGATATAAAAAAAAAAAAAAAAAAAAAAAACTTGGAACATGCATGTACAACAAATAAGCATTGACAGTTTAGTTGAAAGAACATTGCATGTTGCAGATGTGTACAGTTTGTTTACTTTTTTTTTTTCACGGGAAAACAGAATAAATATTTATTTTGCAGGTCATGTAACTTAATTTGGAAATATCTGATTATTTTCGTGATACACAAGATAGTTTATTATTTATTTATTTTAAAAAAAAGGGCTGGGGGGAAGGGAAAATATTAGTAATATTATTTAAATACAAGGAAAAAAAAAAATAGGTATGCAAGGGAGAGATTTGGGTGGGAGGGGTAAAGGTAACCTATTTGGCAGCTTCACTCACTTTCAAGAGCAAAATATCACCTACTTCACTCACAGCTTCCAAGGTACGATCAATATCTTCCTTGGTATGAGCGGAGGATAAACAGAAACGAGCACGCGAAGTAATAATGGGAGTAGCAGGATAACCCACAACCACCGTCGCAATCCCACGCTTCATCAACTCACGTGAAAAGGCAGGGATTTTGGCAGGATTAAACAACAATAAAGGAATGACAGGACTGCCCTGATCTCCATACACAATAAAACCCATATCTCTTAAGCGTTCAATGAAATAGAGCGAATTCTCCGCCAATTGCTTGATCTTCTTACGACCAATATCCGTACCATCTTCACCGCAGATAATCTTCATGGACGTAATCACTTGTTGAGCAACAGGTACAGAAACAGCTTCTGCATAGTTATAAGCATGGTTACGCAGACGCAAATGATCAATGATCGCTTTATCTCCCGCAATGTAACCACCAGCGGCACCAAACGATTTGGTGAAGGTACCCATGAGAATATCTACCTCTGCAGGGTCAATACCGTAAAAATCGCAAACTCCTCCACCGTTTTCTCCAAGGGCACCAACCGAATGGGCCTCATCCACATACAAGTAGAACTATTTTTCATAAAGTTTAGTGATCATATAAGAAAAAAAAACAATAATGCAAGCTATCTTACCTTAAATTCCTTCTTGAGTTCAATGAGTTCGGGAAGATTGACAATAGTACCTTCCATCGAGTAAAGACCTTCAACAATAATCAAAATCTTTTTCCAGGGACGATGTGTACGAGGTTGGCCTTGAGAAATAACTTCACGAAGTAATTCACGCAGATCATCCATGTTGTTATGCTTAAATACACGCACAGAGGCACCGGAAAGACGTACACCAAAGACAATGGAAGAATGGTTCATTTCATCCGAGATCACAAGACAGCCCTTATTGACAAGAGCAGGAATGGTGGTGGAATTAGTAGCAAAACCCATACTAACACACATGGCATCTTCTTTACCGACAAAACGAGCTACCATGTGTTCCATATCTTGAGCTAATTTGGTGGTACCGGCTTCTGCTCGACAACTGGCAGCAGTAATACCTAATTCTCGAGTGGATTGTTCCACAGCGTCAGCACAAGGTCCCTCTGTGTCGGAGAAACCAAGGTAGTTGTAAGATGCAAAGTTTAAGGCTTCTGTCGTTGTGCCAGTCAATCGAAAGGTTTTGTTGAAATCAGGTGAAACTCGATCAAGTAACTTGACCGTACGAGATGCAACACCTGTAGTAGGGATATTGAAGCAATCACTGCAAAGAATCAATGTTAGCACAGAAAAAAAAAGAGAGAACAATAAAAAAGGTAGCTTACCGAATACGAACATAGAGACGACGCGTATAGAAGGAGTCAAAGTCAGAAACAAGAGGAGCATAACCCTGTATGCATAGGAGAATAAATTGAGTACATATTGAAAGAAGATGATGAATGTGTCTTTTTTTTTTTTTTTTACCTGATTCATCTTCAAATGAGTATAGGCTTGAGGCTTGAAAAGCTTGCCGAGAATATCTCTTAAATGACCAAAGAGAATCAAGACAAAGTAGTTGAGATAGGTGCAAACAAGAACATAGAGAGGAGCAGCTTCCAACTTATGCTCGAGGTCATCATACTTCATCTTGGGCTTACGAGGTGGTTGCCATCTTTCTGTGGTATTGTTGACAAAGGTGGTGGATTCCGACGTCGATCTTGAAAGAGAACCAATAAAATTGGAAGGAGCATACGAATGGTCCGAAGAAGACTTGGGTGTTGTCAAGTTAATACTTGGGATACTAATCGTATGCGCTCTCTTTCCTTTGCCCATGACTGTAAAAATAAAAAAAAAAATGAAATAAAAAAGAAATTGCCCTTTTTGACAATAAAAACATTTTTTTGACTCATTTATATATTGCTTTTTTTTTTTTTTCCAAACCCCGGTCTGTGTTTCAAAATCTTTTTTTTTTTTTTTTCTTTCCAAAAAGTCTTGCGGTTAAATCCGTTGCCGGGGCAACCCATCTTTTTTTTTTTTTTTACATCATTGGTTCCCTTTTTTTCTTTGACGTTTATTTGTTTACATATGTTAACGAGACGTTGTATATTCTAAAAGGAGTACAAGAAGTGCTTGCCTACTTTTTTTTATTAATATTTTTTTTTTATTTGGTAACTGGGGATCCCCGCCAATTGTTTCTAATATAAAAAGCCCTTTTTATCACTTATGGTCACACCCGATTGTGTGCAATCACTGTCAGCTGATAAAAAAAAAAAGTACAGGACAAAAAAAAACGCTTACTATATGACGCAAAAAGGGATAGTTCTGCAGATAGCTGTAAGTCCATGCTCATTACAAAAAAAAAACAAAAAGTTTCTTTATGGAAAACTAGTAGTAAAAGTTGGGGGGACTACTGGGAAATCTCACTCGTCTTTTTTTTTCCCGGGAAAGAAAAAAAAATTCTACATTTTGTCCGGTCTCAACACTATAAAAAGAAAAAATCCCACTTTTTTTCATGCAAATTGACGTGGAAAATAGGGCTTTGTTTAATGCTATATATAATACTCTTTTGAAACGTCATATGAGATCATCTTCTCTACTTATATATCTTTTTCCGCCAAGAAAGCGGTAATTGACATCATTTTTTTTTTTAGATCCTTATCGCACTAGTGTGATATCTACTTTGTGCGTCTCTTTTATATTTTGACATGCTCGGGCTGGAATAACTATTTCTAGACTTGAGCTCCCTGTCATCGCACACGTTTGTTCATCAGATGTTCTCCCAAACTAAAGTGAGGGGGAAGCCGATGGAGAAATAATTTTGCTTTCCGGGAGACATAAAAAATGAAGATATCGGGCAGTAATGGGATGAAGACAAAACCTATTTAATCCCTCTCTGTGATCAGTTTATTTTTATCGTTTTCACGGAAAAGGCCTTTTTTTTAAAAAAAGAAAAAAAAAGTGGCTTTGTTTGAGTGGTACATTTGTGTCCCTATTTATCCAAAGCGAATCATTGGCTAATAAAACAAATGAATAATTTTTTCCCCCCATTAAAAAAGTCTAAATTGATTAAATCGTAAATATACACAAATATTGATAAAGGACAATGATAAGTGTTTACGACAAAACAGGTTTCGTCCTTGATAATATAAATGTTACACTTTTCTCATCAGCCAAATTATATAAAAAAAAAAAAAAAAGAAAAGAAAGAATAAATATACATCATATTGATATAAATTATGTGCAACCCTTCGTCATCCCATTTGGTGCTAATTAAAATAAAATCTTTTTCTTTCTTTGAAGCTTAAAGAACATGAAAGAATGTTTATCAAGATTGTTCTAGTACCTTTTTTTTTGTTTTTTTTCATGCAGATCTGAAACTGTTCTTGAAAAATTCAATTGGGTCTCTTGTACCTGAAACTATGCTTTTAGGCATTTTGTTACAACTCTAAAATATTTACACAATGTTGATCTAGCTTTTGAAAGGAGTATCTTTATCAAAGTTTTACTGAAAAATATTTAGTTTTGAATTTTTGTATCGCAATTATCCTTATCGAAAAACATCACTATATGTTTATGAAAAAATTAATCAAAAGAGTTTTTTTTTTGTTTTTTTTTTTTCGGTATCACAACCATGTATAGTTGCTGGAAAGCATCTGCATATGCAACTTACAGAAGTAAATCTCAACTTTTTTGTTTATAAAGATAAAATTGTGATTATGTAGAAACAAAAAATTGTCATAATACTAACTATTTTTCATTGTTTGGATTAGGTAAAAAAAAAAAATAAACAATATCATCCTTCGATCAGCAGAGTGAATGGATGGCAACAAATCAGATATATATGCCACTGATAATAGCAAGGATTCCCTTCTTCACCAGTACTAATTGAAGTGCAGAATGTTGCTTACCACGCGTTTCTCTATCGAGTGGTGTGATTTAGTGGGAAGGCACACGAAGAGCACGAAACTATGTCTGTGGTTCACGTTGCTGTGATTGTCAAACAAATCTGCGATACCATCATGCGTAAGACAACAAGAACCTGGATACCTTCTCCGTTTATTATTCGGATTTCTACCAGAAAGATAACAGATCGTCTTCTGAGTTGTATTATAATTAACAGCAATGCTTTCAAATATTCTTTGGAAATGACTTTTAAAGCATTTGGGATTGTAGAAATCCGTACCAATAGTAAAGCATAGTTCATGAAAGACAATAATCCAGCATCCTTTAAAGATGACATGGGTACGTTAATGGACGACCGCTTTAGGTCGTGGGTTAAATTTACGAGTAACGTCATGAATAACTTGAATCATCCGCCTGTTAACAAAACTGAATAGTACTACCCATGCTTTTGAAGTCATTTTTCTATCATTTACATTGTCGGCGCCATGATGGCATTTCTTGAATGAGAAATATACAAGATAATTTTTTTTTAGCAAATAATTTCACTTTTGTGTCTGCAAATCAGCCATCTTGTAGTTTGAATGTATGTCAGATTGAAAGGAGCAGTTGATTATATATTTTATTTTCATTAAACAAGTGTTACTAGTCATATTCTGAAAAGTAAGTCATTTGAGTTGTTTGGGAAGTCGTATAGATCAAGCGTTCAAAATAATATCCATGCTACTGTCTCATCCACTATTTTGGGTAATTAAACATATCGATTTATCATCAGATTCAGATTTTGATATATTGAAAGAATATAATAAAAAGAAAGAGTACATGTATTTTTTTTTCTTCACTTAGAATCAAAGAAATCGCATTATCGAAAAAGGCAAATGAACTGATCAAAGCCATTAAAACTATAAAACATTAATTCTATTGATCTCGACAAAGAACTTTATACAAGTATAGAATCCATCGATACTATAACTCGAAAGCAAAACATGATACAAGGATCACCAAAATTTTAGTACAACACTTGTAAAAAAGCAAGTTGAGATAATATCTCGTATTGGCGACTCCCCAAAACTCCTTCCAAACTACTGTATTAAACCGCTTTAATTTGATCAACACCAGCAGTTTTTTGTGTAAAAGTTGTGCATCTTCCCATACAAGTTTTAAAATATCATTACGTCGTCTTTTATTCAAAATTAAAGTTAATTTATTTCTCTTTGATCGCCACTTTGGCCACTGCTCAAATGAAATGTAACGTCTAGTTCCAACAATTTTTTTTTTTTTTTTTTTTTTTTTTTGCTTACGATATTTTTTACATTACTTGGTTAAACGTTTCTGTACAGACATCAGCCTGCTTTTGGAGGTAAACTATCTCGTAAATTCAAATATCAGTAATAAATAAAATGGAAAGCCCTTATTTTTTTTTTAATGATGTCAAAAATGCAATGGCCACAAAAAATGGTCTATGTATATTACTGTATGATATAATTTCAGACGTGCATAAAAGTCAATATTATATTAAATATAACCCACAATTTGCTTACAAATGGGGATCCATGACAATCGATCAATAAATTTTAAATAAATTGATGCCAAAATTTGGTACAAAGACGGGCTAAAAATATTTTGTTATGAATTGTACATGCAGTAAAACGTAAATACACACCGAAGTCTAAATATGTGCTCCATTACTATTGACCCATCTTCTGGTGAAATGATTACCCCTCCCCCCCCCCGGGATAACTATAGCATGCCCATCTTTGGGTGCCAGTAACAGCACTAATAGATGATGTACTATTATTTTATATTCTGTACTACTGTCAAAATTCCCGAGAAAAAAGGGGCAAGAGGAACACATGTATGAGTTAAAAGAAGAACATGCTGTTCAGAAAAGCACGATGATAATGATAAAAGACTGCATCAGCTTTAATAATTTTCATCTGCGATTAACTTTTTCCTCACACACACAATCGTGATAACCGTGTCGGTATTCTAAATAGAAAATATTGCTATCTTTGTACATACATGTATGCAGGCTAAACATAAGGAAAATGAGTTGGGTGGAGGGGGAAGTAATTTACCATAAAATATAACGTGCGGTGCTCACTTATTTTTTGCTGTTTTGTCATACATAGACTATACGTAGGTTAGTGTCATGTAGCATGACGAAGACAAAGTTATGGTTCATCCCGAGCAAACACGCATTTTTAATTATTTCTCGGATCGCACATGTTATTTCGGGTGAGATTAAGCGTTGGGGGGGAGAGGAGGACCTTATAAAACGCCACCATGTGGTTAAATGTGACACCGTTATGTTCTAGAGCAGTTCTAGTTTTTTTAAACTTCAGACATGGTTACTGTGTTCCGAAAAAGATAATTCATATCAGATGTAAAAGTTTACGATTGAATGCACTGCGTTTTAAAGTCTGATTAAAAGATGTTATCCCAGCCAGCCAGCGCCTCTGCTTCCTCATCATCATTAAACTCCGTTTCACGTGACACACGCACGCACGCACACGCACACACACACACGAACTTGAAGACAATCTCTGCCCAATACAAATGCAGACAAGATTTGATTTGGTGAGGATTACTCATATCTTTTATTTTTTTTTATAATTTATTTTTTTATTAGTCATGTGTAGTCCAAAGGTAATGGCTTCTACATTGAAGGCTAAAGGGTTTGGTGATGATAATATTCTTGGTGAATTCGATGACAATTATTCTTTCCCGAGACAATTGATTCCAGAAACCATGCAAGGTTAGAAAAAAAAAAAGAAGATTTTTTTTTAATCAGAGAAAAAAAAATATCGGGATTAATTCAACAAGAATAGACGATAGTAAAATCCCACTTGTTATTGTTGCCTGTGGTTCTTATTCACCCATTACATATTTACATTTAAGAATGTTTGGTAAAAAAAAAACCTTTTAACGCTGACAAGTAGCTATTTTCTCATCCCTTAATGTATAGAAATGGCAAGAGATCACTTTAATGAACGCGAGGGGTATGAATTAATTGCTGGATATTTTTCACCTGTGTCGGATGCGTATATGAAGGAAGGTTTGGCCAAAGCCAGTCACCGTGTTAAAATGTGTCAACTGGCAGTGGATAGTACATCAGATTGGCTAATGGTGGATTCTTGGGAATCAAGGCAATCCATGTATCAAAGAACCGCAGTTGTTTTGGATCATTTTGATTATGAACTGAATGGAGTGGGTGGTGGTATTAAAACACAATCAGGTAGGTAAATCATGCAATTATTTTACATGGAATACGTCTAATAATTGGCTTGTCTAATTTAGGTGAGGTTAAAAAGATCAAAATCATGTTACTTGCAGGTGGTGATTTAATGGCCTCTTTTGGTCATCCTGGTGTCTGGACATCGGAGGATGTAAGCAGAAAAAAAAGGGGGGGTGGAGTAGAGGACTTGATATTAATTTGTATGACAGTTACATCATATTGTCGGTAGATACGGCTGTGTTATAATTGAAAGAACTGGTACAGATGTGTACGGCTTTTTACTCTCGCATGATATTTTATATCAGCATAGGGTAAGTTAGAAATGTCAATTAAGGAATATGCAACTGATAGATTTATAATGTAGATGAATGTTTTAATTATCAAACAATTAATTCACAATGACATTAGTTCAACTAAAATAAGGTACGATCAAATATTTTGGGAGAAATATAAGGCGTTGATTTAACAAAAATCAAAATTAGATTGTTCGTGAAGAGAGGAATGTCTATTAAATACTTGCTGCCTAATCCAGTTATAGACTATATTTCTCATCATAGATTATATTTGCCTAAGCAAATATAAACTGTATAAATAACCATCATAATAAAATATAGACCCCTCTTTTGTTCCAAAAAGGGAAGGAGAAGGGCAGATTCATATCCGACCCTATTTGTCACACATACAAAAAAAACTGACACCGACCATTCCAATTTAAGTTATTGTATAACCTTCAAATGGTATGCGGTTAAAAGTTCATTCAAAAGTCTAGAAAACACATGGAGGGTCCCTCCTTTTTTTTCTCTCTCTCTCTCTTTCATTTTTTAATTTAAATTAATATGGGAGCCAAATTATCAACACAGAACAGAAGAAGAGTCGCTTCAAGGCTTCATGCCTCTAAAAACATTGGCAATAAAAATCAGGAAGGAATAGAAACAAAGAACAAAAATCCATCGTATACATCTCTTAGTTGCGCTGCTTTGCCTGTATTCACTACAAGTCAATCATCCGATGGGATCGTTCGAAACGGCAGAACATTTCATAATGAACAAACTTCAACCTATTGGTTCCCTAACGACGATGAAGAAATTGATCGACTTGTGGGGGTAAATATTTATTAGAATAACAATAGCAACAACAATAGCTGACATTTCTACTTTATTTTAGCAACATTTTGCTTTAAAAACTTTATTTAACGGGTAACAAATAATACTAAAAAAAAATTTGACAGGCATTTTAAAAAAAAAAAAATCTTTTTTTATAACTAACCTTAAATCTATTTCAGAAATATCCCAGAGGAAGCACTGGTCGATAACGCATTACCATTTGAAGATGGGGCAAAAATATTGGATTTGGGATGTGGACCTGGCACTTGGATTATGGATGTTGCAACAGAATATCCCAATAGTGAATTTATCGGTGTCGACATGTGTGACATATTTCCCAACAATATCCGACCTGCTAATGTCACTTTTCAAGTTGGTAATGTATTGGAGGGTTTGGCCTTCGAAGACAATTCTTTTGATATGGTTAGCCTAAGATTTTTCATCTTGGCCTTTAGGACAGAAGAATGGGCTGGTGTATTAAAAGAAATTAGGCGTGTCTTAAAACCAGGCGGTTTTATGCTTTCTATTGAACCTGGCATGTTGGAAATCGGTAGTGATTTTGTTTGTTGGGCCGGCAAAATATGTACGTATTTAGTATATTTATCGCACCCCCCAAAAAAAAAATTTACTTATAACACCTTTCACTTTGATTAGTCAAAGACAAGATGCTTGAACGTGGTCAAGAGCCTTATATATCAGATGAAATGAAAAAGACCATGGAATTGGCAGAATTTGAAGTCGTACATTGTGTAAAAAAGCACACTTATCTGGGTAACAAATATTTTTACCGCGCGCTTTTTTTTTTTTTTTTTTTTTTTTGATTGTTGCCTAATACCATGGTTATGATAGGTCGACCGGATCATTTGAATCGTGAGTTTCTATGGGATATTCGATCCATTTTTAAAAGCGGACAAGCATTTTTAGCAGAGTCTTTTGATATATCCAATGAAAAATATCCAGCCTTTTTAGATCAATTGACGGCTGAATGTCAAAAATTACCAGAAACGAGGTGGTCCATGGTATCAACAATGGGGAGAAAACCTTTTTAATTTTTTTTTTTTTTTTTTTTGGTCAACTTTTTATTATCATAGTTTACACACCTGTCAATAGCCATTCCCTATATATATTTATTTTTGTTACAAAATTATTTAGTTTTTTCTTCCACAGCATTTTTTTTTTTTTTTTTTTTTTTCCTTTTACCTCACTAAATCCGCATTTGACATAAACATGGCCAATAAACCAACTCCGGCTCCAATTGTAACCAAGGTATACAGAGCCATATCTTTTCTATCCAATTGTCTCAACTTTTGTAGAATACTGTTACTACTTGGTTGTGGTAGCTTGGATAATAACTTGATTGGTTTTCTCTCTTCTTTATCCTTCAATAATGGAATGATTGAATCTTGAAGCGTTTTATCCAACTCCTCTTGAGTTTGGATCGATACCCAGTCCTTTTCAAATCGATTGACAGTAGATAGTTCATCCAAGGCAATCGTACTTTCACATTGAATATCAAATACCGGGTACTTTTTCTCCAGTTCACAGGCCTTTTGACAGAGCCATTGAATGTCTAGATCCTTGGGCAGTTTAGTCAAAAAACTATGAAGCGTGCTGATTTCACATTCTAAAGCCAGAACCTGGTCTCTCCTCGATAGTACCACAGCTGCAGCAAAATAAATCGACATGAACGGGTTGGAACATAGAAACAAGTCAAATAATCGTGTGATCTTTTCCAAATCATCCAAATCATGACTACACCAAGTTATTACCCATGAAAGGCAGTAATAAGGCAATACACCAGCCCTAAATATTTACATCAGCCCCCCACCCCTTCTTTCTTTTTTGTCTTATTTCTTTACAACTTACTCTGTGATAAAATCATATAATTCTACATCCTCTAATCGAATCAGGGTATCTAATATCGTCAGTTGTTTCAAAATGGGTTCCATACTAACAAACATCTCATCTGTAAGAAAATAGAGTCAAGGGAACATACATTGAAGATTTGTTAGCGGCGCTACTAATCAAAAAAAAAAAAGGATATCTCTTGTAAAATAATGCAACTGGCTCCATTAATTTACAGGCATATTTCTCTCCGAACAATAAAATAAATACAGAGCATATATCATGAAATCCTTGATAATAGTGTAAAGAAGGATATGCTCTCAAGACATGAGTAATCACTCTGTCTAATTGTCCTTCCAACTTGGCTTTGTCTTCAGGACCAACATCTATTTTCTTTTGTCAGTTGTCCTTGTCTATTTACAAAAATTCTCTTACTTTTAGGATAGGAGTTAAAGGATCGAACTACATCCAACTTGACTTGACTTTCATCCTTATGAGGTACTAATAATAAGAAATAAGTCTACACGGCCTGTAAACAAGATTAGGTTTTATGTACCGTCTGGAGAACCCTCCATCGTATTTTGTATCTCGGGATCTGTGCAATGTAATAAATAAGGCCTGTTTTTTTTTTTGAAAGAGTGAGAGATCGAATGAACAACTTTCAACTATGAACTATTCTTTTTTTTTTTTTTTTACCACACCCTTCTACGAATGGCGTCGCTGGAAAACCCAGTTTCTCGGCCAATATCTCGAAGTAACTGATAATCACCGGTTTTTAAAGCCTGGTTGATTTTAAACGTATCTTGGAACTGTGGGTTCTCTTGTGCTGGCTTTTCCCGATACACGTTCTTCTTTTGTTTACGTTGTTTACGTTGTTTACGTGCCATGGTAAGAAGAAAGAAAAAGACGAACGGGTTTTATTTCGGGTGAACCACCCCCCTCTCTTTCATAAAGCATGATGCAACAATACAAAAGGGGGAGGGAGAACGCGGTCACGTACCTGTATTTATTTATTTTACTGGTAATTTATGCTGGTGTGTCGGAAACCGAGTGTTTAATGCTCTTCAAGATGAAACGGGTATCGTTTGTAAGCATCTGTTTCAGTGTCTTGGCCATCCAGTCAAGTTACTGTCAGCTATCAGATCGTTCACAGGAAGAATATAATGAAGAATTAACATTACGTGATTTGCCAGACGGTAAATTGTTGGCTCACTTTGAATTTACCACTAAAGTGAAAGCCAACACATACCCAAATGCACCTTGTAAGAATAAAAAAACGCTGAATCGGACTTTTTCAGTATGGGTACTAATACTACTGCCATCTAGTGTTGGATTATGGTTTATACCCAAAGGCTATTGGAGAAATTCTTCAGTCGTATAATGTGCGTGAAATGCATCTTACGTTTACACAAGGACGTTGGAATTATGAAGAATGGGGATATCCGCCAACCTTATCAGCTGGTACTGGTGTAGAATTATGGGCCTGGATGAAAGATTCATCAGAGTATGTGCACGCACGCACACAGACACACACATATTTTTGTTACTGACTATTTTTGCTCCCAACAAAAAAAAAGTGTGGATCATCATTGGAAATCACTTACAAACACTTTATCTGGATTGTTCTGTGCTTCTCTAAATTTTATAGACGAAACACTCACAACAGAACCGAGATTATCTTTTAGAACAGATCAAAAAGACCAACAATTGAGATATGGCTCTTTACCCCATGAAAGCGTTTGTACTGAGAATTTGACTCCTTGGATCAAGTTATTACCTTGTAAAGCAAAGGTAGACTATTTAAAAAAAAAAGACAGTTGTCAATTTTTCATGTGCTCAATAGCTACTTCTATTTTTTTTTTCTTTAGTCGGGTATAGCAACGCTATTGAATCCTCATAGAATTTATAACTCCAATTTTCATTCCATGGCAATACATGCCAAGTCGATTTGCATTGTAAGTTTGGGTTGGGCTTTGATAAGATGAAGATTAGATTTCCTCACCCCCCACTAAAATATTTTAATAGGATGATGCATGTACCCACCGAGAGTTAGAATTAAAACAAACTGTAACATCTGTCATGGATCCGGTTAGAGATACGAGCAGACGAGGTAGATTGAAATGAAAAAGGAACAAAAAATAGCCGGGGAGGGTGTATATCTAATTATTTATTTATGGTCATAGACTGGTCATTGGAGGCGGTGTTTGATCGTCAACTAAAAAACGCTTGTCCTTTAGCTAAAGAAAGTCGTGTGTTGGTGGATTTGACGAATGCAGGTGATAATTATGAATTGAAACCTGTGACCACTGTGGGCGATAATAAGGTTGCTGTTTACAACCTATCCAAATCACAAGAACCTCTAGATATACGCATGTCATGGAATGAAAACTCGTTTCAATATCGTAACGTATTTTAGAAAGAGAGAGAGAGAGCGATTGTTTGGTTTTGGGCTAATGTTCAAAGTTGTTTATGTAGCACTTGAACCTGTTCACCCCATGATTTACGCAGAACGATACTTTACTGGATATGGACAGGAGCGTGGTGGATTAAGGATCACAATTCATAATCGGAATCAATTAAGTGCGATGCCCGTGATTTATTATGATTCTGTGCCTTGGTTCCTTAAACTATATTTGCATACGCTAAAGGTTGAAATCATTGGTAATATCTCCGCCGATGATATCATTCAACAAATGTATTATCAACCCGCAATTGATAGAGGAAGGCCTACAATGCTCGAATGTGAATTATTATTACCAGCAGATTCAGTGGTTACCTTATCTATGGACTTTGAAAAAGTCTTCTTAAAGTATACCGAACATAGACCAGATGCAAATAGAGGATTTGATGTCGGGTAAACCCTTATCATTGGAATTCTAGCGTGAGAAACTTAAATTTTTTTTATTGTTGCAGTTCTGCGGTGTTAACAGCTTGGATTCCAACCAATGAAAAGGGCTTGATGTAAGCGGATTTTTTTTTAAAAAAAAAAAAAAATGAAAAGGCCTGTTGTTTCTAAGCTTATAATTTTATAGTTTATACGGGGAACCACAGCGTATTTACACGGATACATTGTTAGTCAGTCTCCCAACTCCTGATTTCAGTATGCCCTATAATGTAATCACACTTACCTGTACAGTGATTGCCTTATTTTTTGGATCTGTCTTTAATCTACTCATACGTAATTTTACAGTGGTCCAACAAGTAAAAAAAGATGAATAACATGTGTAACATTGAATTTCGGGTCAGTACGGGGTTTGCAAAACTTGGATAGAAGTGTGGGGTAACCCATAAAAATATTATGGCCAATGAATACATGTGATGGGCTTCAAGAAACCATTCTTTAATACCAATGACTCATTAAAATTATTTTTTCTTTTTTTTTTTCTTTTTCACTCTCTCTCTTCTTCTTCTTTCACTTACTTTTTTTTTTTTATAAACAAAAAAAAAATCATGTATAATATTACACCACAACTGTACGATAAAATAAAATATTTTGCCAGGTTTCCTCAAACTGGGGTGTCGCTTCGACAAATGGTGTTGTTTGGTAATACAATAGAATTAGTTTCATCATCATATTAATCCAAACATGGGGGGGACAAAACAGGCCAAAAACCATCTCAAGGTACATTATTCAAGGCCAGTCAGTTTCTACATGGTAAAAATAATTATCCCTACTTTGTTTGTGTTGCATAGACTAAATATGTAAGTATATAGAGGAGTTACCTATTCGTTTAGCTCATCGGGTGAAGGAACTCGAGGAATTACCACAGAATCTTAGCCACATGCCTTCCATTATAAAAGTAAAGAATTGGTATGCGCAATCTTTCCAAGATCTTGTCGAACTTCAAACACCTCAAATTTCAAGCTCCATGAGAGAACAGCTTATTTCAAAAACATCAGACCACCACTTACCCCACAGCGTGCCAAATCCATCACTTGTAAATATGATTCGACCCAAGAATGTGCTTCAATCATCCGTCCCTATCGCTCACAGGTAAAAAAAAAACAATGACAAATATATAAAAAAAAAAAACATCTTAATCATAAAGAGATATAGATATTACAACAATATTGATCAAGTTGATTGCTCGCCGGAAATTATCGATTACACAAGCTCCTTTGTGAAAACAATTGAAAAGGTGAAAAAAAGACATGATCCAGTCGTAACAACTATAGCCCAGGGAATTTTGGAATACAAGGAACATTTAAATTCTCCAATTATTGATACTGAAGTACAGAGATTTTTGGATCGGTTCTATATGTCCCGTATTGGTATCCGAATGCTGATTGGTAAGTTTTGTATGGGATGAGATAGTTACACAACCTATGCTTACACAAAATCCGTATAGGCCAACATGTTGCGTTATACAGAGGACCAAGTAGAAAGGATTATGTGGGAGTGATTTGTACAAAGACAAAACTTCGAGATGTAGCTATGGATGCAGTCGCCAATGCCAAGTTCATTTGTGAAGAGCACTATGGTTTATTTAAAGCACCGGAGGTTCATATGTTCTGTCCTGGAGACATTGAATTTATGTACGTGCCATCACATTTAAATCACATGTTGTTTGAACTGCTCAAAAATTCATTACGTGCTGTTGTCGAACGCTATGGGAGTGATTATGAGGATGAGTATCCACCCATCAAATTAGTCATTGCTCATGGCAAAGAAGATATCACCATCAAGATTTCGGATGAAGGTGGAGGGCTTCCTCGTTCCGGTATCCCTCTCGTTTGGACATATATGGTATAGATTCTATATTTTTTGCAGCTCTCTTTTCCCTAGCACTAACCTCTTTTTTTTTGTAGTACACAACTGCACAAGCACAAGAATTAGAACCAGAATTCAGTCAGTCAGATTTTAAGGCCCCAATGGCTGGTTTTGGTTATGGTTTGCCTATTTCAAGATTGGTAAGAGTGTATAAAAATAATGTGTATAAAATAACGGCTGACCTTTTTTTTTTCCCATAGTATGCTCGTTATTTTGGTGGCGATCTTAAATTGATCTCAATGGAGGGGTAAAAGAAGAATAATGTGATTTTTGAATATTATTTCTAACATTTTTTTTTCTCTCTTTATTTTTCTAGATATGGAACAGATGTGTATTTGCATTTAAACAGATTATCCAACAGTGATGAGCCACTCATGTAAATAAACCCATTTTATAGAATTATAGAAAAAAAAAAATAGATGCAATAAAAACAAAAGCAAGCCATATTCACACACACTTTCTTTTCTTTTTTTTTCTATATATACATCTCCTCTTTTCTCTGTACTTGTTTGTAGATATCATCACGAAGAAGACTTTATCGTGGACAAAGAATTAACTCAATGTGAAGAAAAAATCGAGGCCACATCTGGTTAAATTTCTGATTGCATAACCAACTTATACCCGCCACTCCCTCCCCTTTTTTTTTGTATATTCTAGCTTTCTTCTCCGCTTCCTAATCAAATAAATAATACATAATATCGTTGCTTGTATCATATGATATATACTACATGTATCAAGCACTTTTGTATCACTATATTGATCTGTCTTATTTTATTCTAACTTTTACAAGCTTTTTGAACGACTTTTGAAGAAAGGGTACTTGAATATTATGGGTTAATAGCAAGACGCTCTGTCTATCAGTCATAGCGGCAATAATAAAAGACTAGGTCATTGTTGATGGTTTGATAAAATGGATATAACGGCTAAACTAATGCGTATCACAACAGTAGGTTACCAACCAAATCATTGGTACACAATTGACTTACAGTCTGGAAAGCGATCAGGCTATCCGCATAATAGATATAGAGATAATTGTAAAATTGGTCTGTTGATTCCGGTTTTCTGTTAACGTAGAAAAAAACAGTACTAAAATCCAGTATATTTGACACACAAGACAAAGCAGACAATATGATTATTTTCAAATATGCTAGTATATGATTTCATAAAACTGTATCCAGTTCAAAAATAGAGACGATACGAGAAGACACTGAGAGGTTTTTGTATACTTTATTACGATTAAATGATATGAGTAGCTTACAAAAAGAGCGATATCAATGGCTATGAATGTGTGTGTGTGTGTGTTGTTACTGGATTGTTCAAGTGAAAAGCGGTAACGTGAAATAAAAATAAAGAGTAAGATAAAAGTTCTTAAAAAGTGAGCACCAGACTATAAGTTGTCAATGAAGATAATCAAAATATGAAAATATAAAAGGGAAATGCTACGACGAACCAGATATAAGTGTCTTCGAAGGAGTACAGTAAAATACAGCTGGTAAGACTATTCAGCGCTGATTTATAAGGAGGGCTTTCGTACAATTATAGTAATTGTATATATTTATTATGAAACCATGCTTATATAAATCAAACTAAATCAGATTACAGTAAAGAACAGACTAACAATTTTATTGATTATTTTTGAGGTCCTTTTATAAGAAAAGGACAGAAAAGCAGTCAGAAAAAGGTAACAGTGTGTATACTTCTAACCTCTCCTCTGGTTACAAGACCAAATATTATTTTAATCAATATGCATAAAACATTAGTGAAAGCTAATTTTTGACTTGAAAGCTGTATAAACAACTTTATTATATCTACGAAAATGATTAGTTTTTTAACTTGAATATAAGATAGCCAAATTTACTACTTAAATCTATGACTAACATGTGATGACATGCCTGGAATAATGATTGATAACGTTTCCAAACAATGTTTAAACAGGAAGCCATATCACAATTTTTTTTTTCATTATAACCATGGCTCTACGATTTAGGATTTGTGTGTCTGATACATAAAATCTACATTAAGAATTTTGTTTTTTTTCTCTCAGTCAATCATATGACTGCGTGCTTTGGACCCCATAAAAGCAAAAGCTACTTAGTGTATCCATCATTCTTGTGAAAACCCCTCATTATTTTTATTATTCTGTAGATCCAATTGAAGGTAGAGGCTATAGACCATCGTTCATGCCTCCATATACACTATTTCTTGATCCAAAAGAGTTGAACTGGTCCGAGATAAAGATGCATATTAAAAGAAACCTGCTTTCCACGTTAAACATTTTAACATCCAGAATCAAATGATTCTGTGAGATCATTAGCCATAGTAGACTGCTTCGGTTGGGGGGGGGGGGTTTAAGTACACTCTTTTTATTAACAAGATACAAATATAGTACGATGAATAAGAAGCAATACTGGGTAGGCTATTATGTCAATGATTTAATGCATACGGGAAGCAGAATTTCAAACAGAGTTGAAACTATGTACCCGTGCAAATATTAAAAGAAAAAACAGAACCTCATCTGGTAGTATGGCAGTTGTCACAGAAAAAATAGATCTTTGGATTAAAAAGAGAGTACGTAATATTTAAACATACTCTTATTTTGTTAACTCTAAAAAAATTAACATAATTATCGAAATGTACAACCAATCCATGAATCCATGACACAAAGAACAGTTTTTTTTTTTTTTTTTTTTTTTTTTTTTTGGAAGATGATATGATGGATAAACTTGCTCTGATCACATTAAACGTTTCAAGCTTTGCTTTTGAAAATATCAAGAATGAATTAATGAAAATAAAGGCTGCTGCCGAAAAACCTGTCCATCTAAGCTATGTGTGTCTTAAATAAAGCTGTCTTTGCAAGTCCATGAAAACATTTAGACTACCTTGCAGACATGTTCTTGCCGTCTCGTTTGTTGGAAATAAAATTTCTCTGGACATTGTTCACGAAAGATGGAGGATTACCTATGTGAAGGGAACTGGTAAAAGATTAATATACAAACTGAATTAAACTGTAATTAAAATTAATACTTTTCATAGCCGCCACCATTGCCGATTTTTCCCCTGAGATGAGCAAAGAGTTTCATGAAATATTACAAATTGATGCTAGTGCTATCCAACTTAGGTTAAAAAAGCTTCTAACATTAAACCATATCTCGCGTAGTCAGCAAGAATCAACCAATCTTATTAAATACATGGAAGCTTTGACCCAAAAATATTCGGTAGACCGTCTTTCCCCGGCAATTGTCGCCATAAAGGCACAAAAATAAACAAGCTGGGTGTGGAGCACGAAAATGACAGAATCTCTATCGAACAAAAAAATGTCAAAAAATGAAGCAGGAAACAGTAAAAGTGGAAAGGCCGAAAAAAAGCACAACTCCCTTAAGTCTTCGCAAACCATCCATGGCCGTGATCAAGCAGATCAAGTCAAAGTATTGGTTTATGTTATGTTTTTAATTATTTTACAACAATAACACTAATGTTTTTTGTTCTAAATACAAACCTTTCACCGTCGTAACTCGTGAAGCATATTACAGTGGTCTGTTTAATTGCTACATAATGCATAAGCCAACGATGTACTTGGGTTTGTCATCCCCCATCCCGATAATGATTGCGGATTTTGCGCTTTAAGCATCGCTATAAGCCTCGCTGTCTTTTCCAATAAAATCGCTTGAATTCAAGCAAAGAAAAAGTGATGTTAGCTACCTCTGCAATGTAGGCTAACACTATATAATACAAAACACACGGGCTCAACGAGGCATATACCATGAACAATTTGCAGTCAACAAAAGCTCCCTGTCTTGATGACTTGAGTCTTTACTTTGACTGTTACGAATGCCCTCAGACTGTTGCCGATACATTCAAAAGACCAATAGTTTTACATGCAACCACACCAAAGCTTGATAAGTATGATAACACGTGCAAAGACAATGATGGAAGCGTCTTGTATACCAAAACGTTTGATTACTTTTGTACCACTTCTTGGCGTATATTTGGAAGCAATGATTGATCCCATACAAATTTTGTTTGCCAACAGTCATTTTAATATGATTTTGCCTCAATTTGACAACAAAGCGAAGAAGGCTTCCAAAGTCAGAAAATGGCCAACAGTGCACTTTTCCCACCAAAAAGCATTTGACGCGCACCGAGACATTTTTGTCTGTTTTGCATGGAGAACAAAATTAAATTAAAACCAAAAGTGATACCGTTAGAACTTGGATACCAATTTATTCGTACTAAAAAACGTATGATGGTCTATGAGAAAAAACTATCGATATTTATATGGGAAACTAAATAGTTTTAGGGAGAATAGTCAGGGCTGAAAAATCCAAAGACAAAAAAGAAAATAAGACAGAGTATTAACCAGATTGCAAAAAGGAACTGAACTTTATTAAATATAAAAATATGGATTTCTTTTATACACAACGAACACAACTATTTACAGCAAACGGGAAGATGACTACCGTGGGTGGATTATATTGTCATATTGTCTAAACTGTCAATATCCCGCAAGGTACATCAAGGATAATAAAATAACTGTCCGTAACTGAAATAAATATACTAGTGTTACGTGAATCATGAAATATCATCTGACATATGCCAAAAGGTGAAAGATGATAAATTATTTCAATCGTCGGAGTGCAAGTATGTTACCGCAAATATGGTGCAAATACTGCTCGAATACAACAAGGGCATGATTGGAACATAATTTAATGATTTGGTGGCTGTAAATAATTAACATATCTTTAATTTTAGCCCTTCCACACTGGGTATATAAATGCTAGTCAGAGGGATCGACAATTAATAAAAAATTATCAAATAGAAAGAGTAATATTTATGCTCGAGATATATTAATATTCTATAGTCTAGGCATATTTGATTGTATTGCTTTTTGCAGTATAGATATTTACTCGCCACGGGGTTGTGCCCTGCGTACAGTGTTCTGTCAAACAAGATAGACAGTTTATGAGATAAGAAAGAAGGTAATTGTGAGACTGGGTAAAATTGATTATCGTTCTATTATTGAATTAGAGAATGGTTTATATAGGAATTGACAAAGTCCTTTTGGTACTTGTCAATTAAAAGAGCAGGCTGAGAGAATAATCTACAATCTGAACATATTGTCGTAAGCATGTGTGAGTTGTAGGCTGTGGTATTATTTATAAGTTGTTTTTATCATTTATTAATGCAAATGTTGCATGTAAACCGCGTGTACGTGAGATGACACAAAATAGCTATTTCTAGTCTCTTAACCAAAGAAACTCACAAAAAAGTGCTTGTATACACTACGAGATATATATGTAAACAATATAAAGACTTCAGCGGTACGATGAGAACAAGAGGGGTAATGCATGATTCATGATTAACTTTTATATTACTATCCATCCCTAATGTGATCTGATAACTAACTTTATTATTAAATCTATGATATGCTCAACAATTGTCCCCGACGTGTCTAATTATTTACAAACAACTAGACGGTGTACTTTTATAATTTACTCCACCAATCCTTCACATTCTTTTAAACTGATATATTTTATCTCATAGTAATTAAAACCCAAAAACAAAATAAAATTTAGACTAAGAGCATGAGCTCACACTCAAAACCAGACATTAACTTTCTCCATCAACTGGTATGGTGTGGCAACAAAAAGTATGGCGCAAATATTATTAAGCTGGCCCGAAATTTATTATTTGACCGGACAGGAAAAAATGGTGAGCGTATAATTAGCTTTACTATAAGTCTTACGACATTGTATCAA